ATGTATTTTCTTTGTTTTCCTTTAAAAGATCTTTGTAAGTAATGCCCTATTGGGTCTTTCCTTACGGTATACTGACTGATATGTATAAAATAACATTAAGCTATCAAACGCACCTGATATATTCTGCGCGTCAAGTGGTGCACGTAAAATTCCAAAATCCCCAAATGGGGATCGTGGCAGGTAATGAGTTAATACATACGTATATCTCACCAATTACAGAAAATATTTTTATTTAACATGCATATAACTTGATGAAGATTTTGGAAATATATGGACCGGAAATAATTGTTGAGTTACACGAATCAGGGCATAAATTTCACCCTTTAGAATCTAGATAGTATTAGTTTAGTATTCTCTGGCTAATATAGTTGTGGGCTAGAATTCAGATATTGCGCTAAGTTTGATTCAAGGGAGTATAAAAGGAATAAGACGCTTTTGTCATCGTAAAATTTAACTTCCATTTCGCGAAAGTTTCACCCGATTGTTAGCCGGCGCGTATAAAACAAAACTTATAACGCATAAAAGCGAACGTGTTCGTGAACGCGGAAAGGACGATTTCTTGTAAAAAAAGAACAAAACAAAAGAAGTTAAGTTTAAGAAAATTCGAAAATCCCCACGAATCTTTAAAGAAAATCCTTATTTCCCTCGAGAGATTGCCCGAGGATTAAACGATTCCAGAGGCACGAAGGCAGTTCGCGTTCTCGCGTGCCGAAGAAAATGAGAAGGAACGTGGATTTTTCGTGGAAAGAGAAAAGCGAGGGAAAATATAGGTGGTGCAACGAAACGAGCCAGCGTAAATTTTTATTTCTCCGCTCGAGTCGAATGTAACTAACTCTTCTCTCTCTCTCTCTCTCTCTCTCTCTCTCTCCCCCTCCCTCTTTTGTTTCTCTTCCTTTTCTTCTATTTTACGCGTTTCCCCTCCCTGACGAGCATATACCTATCCATTACACGGTTGTTTCCCAGTCCTCCCTGTATCGCCCTTTAAAAGCCTTACAATGCGTCATCACCGTCGTTTCGCTACTGCTCAGCCGTGGAGTGCCCTACAGCCGTACAAAAGGATATAATCGCAACCCTACAATAGAATAGAGTTCGTTTGGATCATAATAATTCCAATTGGAAGGAACGAAACGACGGAGTGGTTCAAAGGGCGTGCACGAATGTCTTCTGAGAGTGCGCGGCCGTTGCTCGCGGACCGAAACACACGAGCCTGTCGTTTCTCCCGAGCCTGCTGCTCTAGATTACGGATATACAGGGTGCTTCCGAAATTTTGCTTCAACCGGAAACCCGGAAATTCTAAACTAAAAAGAATTCGCTCGAAACGGGCAATCAGAGAAACGTGAGGCGAGAATTCATAATTAACCTTTTAGGCCCGACGCGCCACTATAGTGGCTTCCACGGATATCATCTTTCAGAACGACAGGTCACTATAGTGGCTTTCGCGGATGTCATCTCTCTGGACTATAGAAACTTGGACTATGGTGGCTTGCTCTAGTAGCTCACTCGCTCATCGTTTGAACCAAATAATCGTCTTCATACGCATTGTTTCACACTTCTTTTGTCTTCGCATCGATTTACAACAGTCTACAGGGTGTCCCAAAAATGTCTCGCAATCCGGAAATGGCGGGTTCCTCGGATCATTTGAAGCAACTTCTTCCTTTACAAAAATGTTCTCCGCGGCACCGTTAACGAGTTATTAACGAAAAACAGTGACTAATAAGCATCGAGTACGGCCGACGCGAGACGGCCCAGCCAACCAGCGCGCGAAGCCCAGTTCCGCTCATTGGCTCGATCGCCTCGCGCCAGCTGAGCTCGCCTCTCATTGGTCACTGTTTTTCGTTAATAACTCGTTAACGGTGCTTCGGAGAACATTTTTGCAAAGGAAAAAGTCGCTTCAAATGGCCCGAGGAACCCGCCACTTTCGAGATTGCGAGACATTTTTGGGACACCCTGTATATACAGTATCAGACTCTGCCGTCCAGAGAAATAGCCTCGCGCAGAATTCAGCCGGACCTAAAAGGTTAAATTGAACTACGGCTGTTTACAGCTTATTAATAGTAGATTGCGAATTTTATGCATTTATGGCAAAAATGTGTAAGTTTGTTTTACAACAGTGAGAAGTTTAAAAGAAGCTAAGAAGGTTGATATATTAATTTTAACTCTTCGAAATCATTAAAGAAGGAGGAAAACTTGTGCTTGGCTCCTATGTCTTGTAATCTATTTGTTAATTATAAGAATAAATATTGCATCGAACTCCTATTCCAGATTATCTGTTTACTTGAGTTTTTGGCGTTATCTAAGTTAATCCTAAGAAGAAGTTTCGAGAAATATTATTCAATTCAAACATTATTCAAACATTATTCATTCTAGCAATTTTTAAAGTACAAATGGCGAATATTGATTTTGTTCAATATTTTTGGCATGTGATATAAGGGATATATTTTTCGTATCTTGTGACCGGTGAATACTTGTTGAATTTATTTAGGTTCATTATCTCCGGATTTGTTTAACGTTTTAT